AACACTAAAAATAGAGCCACCATTGGTGGAGCTATGCCTCTTCTTGGTGTATCCCCCGAAGCATTAAAGCCAGCATCCTACAGAGGTACCAGGTGTATGGCGGTACAGCAGCCACGATGCAGAGTCAGCCTAGGTACCATGAACAGATGAATGGATAAAGAGAGTGTGATTATGCACAGTGGAGTATTATTCCACCATAAGGAAGAATGAAATTCTGTCACTTGCAAGACAATGGATGGATGTGGGTGGGGACCATCCCATGGAACAAAATCAGCCACACTCAGAACGAAAAAAAAAGCGAGCGTTCTCCGTGATACCTGGACTCGAAAAGAGATGACAGGGAAGTAGAACAGACACTATTGCTAGACCATCAGAAGGCAATAAGAGGGAGGTGAGCATAGGGACAGGGAATGGGGGGATGGATAAGAGCAAAATATACATGCTGACACCCCCCAAAAGACTGTGAAATTGGAGAATGGGCTGGGTAGTGAACAAAGTATGTTATGTGCATGCGCAAATCTGCCAACATGAATCCCATGGATGTGTATAACTAATTTTAAGAAGCTGAAAGAGGGGCCAGGGATATAGCTCAGCGGCACGGCGCTTGTCTAGCAAGCACGAGGTTGTGAGTTCGATTCCCAGTACCAAAAAAAAAACCCCAAAAGAGTAAGTAAGACCCAAAATAGGTATTGTAAAATGAGAAGAAACTGTTCAAAAGAAAAGAGAAACCAGGATGACGAGGGGAGGAGAAAGGAAGGAATGGAAAAGAAAAAAAAAAAAAAAATATATATATATATATATATACACACACACACAAGATAGTTAGGATCATTACACTCCTAATTTCTCTTAGCTCATTGAAAAGAAAGGTTTCTGCTAATATTGTTTGGACAAGTAAATGCATATGTCTCGTACTCTGAGTAACTGAAGATAGCAATATGTGTGTATTAACCATTGTTACTCTCCTATTATCTTGTTTTGAAATTTTGGGTTTTTTTTAAAAATATATATAAGTTTTATTTGAGAGGATTTTTTAAAATCACATTCACCTCCCTGGCCGCCAGAAGATCCACATCTCCAAGAAGTGGGGTTTCACCAAGTTGCATTTAGATGAATTTGAAGACGTGGTGGCCGAGAAGCGCCTCATCCCTGATGGCTGCGGGGTGAAATACATGCCCAGTCGTGGTCCCCTGGACAAGTGGCGGGCCTTAAACTCCTGAAGGCTCCCACTGTGCTGCTGCTGCCGCTTAACAAGTTCATCAATAAGTCTTATCTTCCCCCACACACAAGAAAATCACATTTACCATCCAGTGGCTCAGTTGAGATATTTGAATTTTTTAAATTTTATCTTTTGTTTTACTTCTTATCTCTTTAAAATATTTTTTAAAAAAAAAGAATGAATAAAAGTATGTGGGGCTTGACTGTTTTCATATCCATTTTGTGAGCTTCTTGAGGTGCTTTTTAGCCCCACGCCGAAGAGGGGACACAGAGGCCCAGCCAAGTGATGTGCGTGACTCTGACCCACAGCGCCAGGGACCTCCTGTCCCTCCAGACGCGCACTCTGCCTAGCCTTCCCACTTGCCTTGGCAAAACGAGGTTGCCAGAAGTGTGAAGAGCACTAATTTGGAGCCCAGGTAGGGGTCCAGCCCCAGAGAGGGTGCTGATGTAAGGCTAAGCCAGTAGGAGCACTTGTCCCGGTGGTGACCCGCGACAGACATACAGCGTGTCTTCACGAAGGTGCTTCCTTTCCGGTTGTGTCCAGTAGAAGACCCCAGCTGCCCAAGTCGGGTGAGGTCACAGTACCCCGTACGGCTCTGTCTGGCTTTCTATCACTTTGTCTGCTGGGGAGAAACTTCTCACAGGCTGTTCTCGTATTGTCTCACCCTGAGTGCATCTGACTGCCCGCCCTGATTCCTTTAGTAAGCCTTAACCAAAGGCCTTTACCGACGTGGTCTGGAAGGAGAGGGCGCGTCAAACCATGGACAGAGATTAGAAAGCCATGCAACCCCAGGTCGCAGCGGTTGGGGTGATGATGGTGGATATGATATGGAGGGAAAAGGGTACCGGTAAAGTCAGCCATAAAGGGTCTTTCCTGTGCCCTCCAGTGTGTGTCTGTTTTGTGTCACTCCAGTGAAATACCTGAAGGAGGCTGCTTCATCCAGAAAAGGGGTTTCTTTGGCCTAACAGTTCTGGAGGCTCACGGTCGATGGGCCACATCCTCCTTGAGCCGGTGCAGGGCATTACTTGGAGGGGAAGAGCGCACCACATCCCCTGTCCTTTGCTAAGGCCACCAGACTCCAGTCTCGGGGCTCCACCCTGTGACTCTTTGATCTTAATCCTTCCCAAAGACTCCACCTCCAAACACCCCAGGGTCTGAGCAGTGAGCATCGGAGGTAGGTACAGTTTTGTAAAAGAGTGCGCATGGCTCTGTGCAACTGACTATAGAATTAATAGCAGCTACCATGTTGTTTTATTAGGTAAATATCAGCCGCGCGTTTGATGTGTTCATTATAACCGGGCGATGGGGCAGGAAGGTGAGTGGGTCCGCAGGGGAGAGTGAAGACTGAGAAAGAAGAGAGAACTAGCGCAGCAGCTCCTTCGTGGAGGAACAGTGCCCCCTGGTGGGCATCTCCATTATTGCAACGACACAGAGACAGAGAGCGGGGCAGAGATCTGAGGAAGCCCAAGCAGTGCCCCCTCGTGGGCATCTCCATTATTGCAACGACACAGAGACAGAGAGAGAGGGAGAGATCTGAGGAAGCCCAAGCAGTGCCCCCTGGTGGGCATCTCCATTATTGCAACGACACAGAGACAGAGAGAGAGGCAGAGATCTGAGGAAGCCCAAGCAGTGCCCCCTGGTGGGCATCTCCATTATTGCAGAGACACAGAGACGGAGACAGAGAGAGAGGGAGAGATCTGAGGAAGCCCAAGCCATTTGCTGTCCCATTTGGCTGACTGGAAGGGAAGCAGATACCCACCAACAGTGGAGGCTCCCAGCTCCAGAGATAACCAGGTTCTGAGCCTGCAACCTGCAGATGTTGCTGTAAACAGCAGAGCATCCCAACCCAGAAGTTTCCAGCGCTGTTTCAAAAGTCTGCTCTGCATCAGGGGAAACGGGAGAGTTCCAGAGTTGGAGGCCACACCACGGGGTACCTTTGACCCCTCCCACCTCTGGCCAGGCGGCCTGAGCACAGGGGTCTGTGCTGTTCTGCACCAGGGCCCCTCCCCCGGGGCTCTACTTCCCAAGGAATCTGAGCCCCCATGCACCCCCGGGTCATGGTGACGTAGCTCCATTAGAACGGCCGCCCCGCAGCCCAGACTTCCTGGTGTCACCTTTCTGTCCCTGACGAAGGGTTCTCGAACATCCGCAGTCCCCTCTGCTCCCTCCTTGCACCCCCTCCCAGCGCCTCTTCCTCTGTCGTTTTCCTGAGACAGTCATTGCCCTCAATAGCAAAGCATTGGTTTTGAACATTTTCTTTCCAGTGCCTGGTAATGCCTGTCAGTTTGTAAGCAGCTTCCCACATAAGCAGGGAGATATGCATTGGGAAGAAGGAGGGAGAGTCAGCAAAAGACTGGGGTAGCCCAGGGGCAGCGCACTTGCCTAGCGTGTGCTCACACGTGTGCAGCCCTGGGGTCCTTACCCCAGCTGGGAGGAGAAGAAAAACAGAAAAGGGAGGGGCTGGGGATTTAGCTCAGCGGCACAGTGCCTGCCTGGCAAGCGCGAGGTCCTGAGTTCGAATCCCGGTACTGGAGAAAAACCAAAAAAGAAAAAAAAAACAGAAAAGGGGAAGTTCCTGATTTTTCAAGAAAGTGACTCTGTCACACTGACCACCTGCAAAGCCTTGTCTTTTCCTTTGGGCATTCAGGTGTGTGATTCATTCATCCATGTGCACCTGCCAGTGTTCCAAGCCAGGCACTGTTACCTTGGGCTGAAGAAAAGCAGTGTCTGTGTGTCTGTGTGTGTGTGTGTGTGTGTGTGTGTGTCTGTCTGTCTGTATCATTTACACCAGGGGACAGAGACTTTACCACGGAGATTGTGCAAACTGATCTGAACTGGAAGGCCTGTGACCACCTACAGTTGACTTTGTGTGACAGCAGAAACATTCCACCGGAGCATTCAGGCAAACTCTTGTCATTATTTGCTTCTTAATATAGGTAGCCGCAATGTAGAATGCTTTGACTTGAGATTTTTTTTCATGAGGGTGCAAAAATGATAGGAATCCTGGAGACACCTCACTGCAAATGCTGAGCTGGGATCTTTGCCGAGGCTTACAGTAGGCAGATGATCTTCTGTCTTGATGCCAGAGCTATGTGATCACTTGAGGAAAGAACCAACCCTCTATGATGTGCTGTGTTAGCTTTTTTTTTTTTTTTTTGTCTTTTTGAGGCCGGGTCTCATTATGCAGTTCAGACTGGCCTTGAGCTCACTTTGTAGCCCAGGCTGCTCTCAAACTCACAATGATCCTCCTGTCTCAGCCTCCCTTGTGCTGGGATTACAGGTGTGTGCCATCACACCTGGCCTGCTAGCAGCATATTTTGGATACTATGTTCTTTGTCTTTGTATCAGATCGTGTCTACAAAATGCCCATCTTGGTTAGTCAGCTTTCTCTTACTGTAACAAGGTACCTGAGATAATCAGCTTACAATGAAGAAGGGTTTACTTGGGCTCAGGTTTCCGAGGTTTTAGTCCCTGGTCTCTTGGCCCCAGGGCCTTTGGGCTTGCTGTGAGTGGAGCATAAGGGCGGCAGCATGGGGTAGAACAGTGTGGCTTACCTCTGGTAGACAGGAAGCCAAGAGAGAAACAGGAGGGCCTGGCCCCCTAATACCCCTGGCTTTGTATTTCTCCCTCTCTCTGTCAGCTTGACCCTGAATCAGAAGCCCCTCCTAGCCACAGCCTACCTGTCAGTTAAGCATGTTTGAAACCCACGGTGCTGTCCGAGCGTCTCGGTGGTGCCTCCACCACTCAGCCCTCACCGACCTGGTCTTTCTTCGCCCTGCAGGTTTTTCCCACTCTGCCTTCACGTTCGGGATTGAGAGCCACATCAGCCAGTCCAACATCAATGGGACGCTGGTGCCGCCCGCTGCCCTCATCTCCATCCTGCAGAAGGGACTGCAGTATGTGGAGGCAGAGATCAGCATCAACGAGGTAGGTGGACCCCGGGCCTGCGCGGGTGACCCTGATGCCAGAGGGTGCCGAGGGATGATTTATATTCCTGTGATGTGGGTGAGGGCAAGGGAGGAGTGCTGGCTGCAGATCCCAGCGATGCACTCGTGTGCCCTTCTGCCTCGAATAGTGGGGCCATTGAGCGGTTGTGCTGATTTCACGCCAACTTCGAGATTAGGTTGTCTGAGATCGGAGGAGTTCCCCGTGCCCTCTGGCTGTGCACGCGGCATTCTGTCTGTGACCCAAGACTCCCTCGGCCTCTCCCCGTGAGTCTTTCTACCTGGCTCCATGCTTGCGGGACTTTTCTTCTGGCCGTCTTCCCCCCACCCCATGACCCAAGCACATGGTTCTGGCCTGGCCTGGCAGCCTGTGCCACTTTCTCTTTGGAGACTAACATGATCAATCCTGCTTTCTGTCTTGGGGGTCGCTCCACCATCACCCACAAACCCACATCTTGGCACATGCCGGGTTCCTACTCACCTCGCACTCTTCTCCCTTGGCTCGTCTTTCCTTTCCTTCACGCTGGATGCCTGTGGGTTTTTCACCAATCAAGTGTCAGAGCCCCCACAGCTCGCTTGGATCCCTGGACTCAGCGTGACTTGGTTTTACTCCGCCCGAGCACTCCGGTCTCTTTCCTGTGCCTACACACATTCACAATGCTGGCCTCCCCAATCCAAAGGCTGCTGCGTCAAGGCAAATGAAAGATGTCTCATTTCCAGTTGTAGAGAGAAGGGCAGGCCAGCAGGCAGAGACAGTATGCTTCAGAGTTTATTTTTTGGTACCGGGAATCGAACTCACAACCTTGCGCTTGCTGGTCAGGTGCTGTGCCGCTGAGCTACATTCCTGGCATTGCTTCAGAGTTTAAATGAAGTGCTTTTACTATGTGGCAGTGACTGCATTTTGGGACACGGTCGTCCCTTGGAATGAGACTCCATAAAAGAGGGTGATAGGAAAGCACCTTGATTGTTCAAGCTTGGCTGATCCATGGCTGGAATCCAGGGGACGGGGCGGAGAGGAGGGGATGTTGTATTGCTTTGCATTCTTCTTATCTCAGATATCACACAGTCGTCTGGCATTAGCCAGGGCAGCTTCTGTTTAGACACTCTTACTTTGAAACTTCTGCCCCTGGGCTCTTCCTCATTCCGAGGTAATTCGGTTCAGCCCATATACAAACGTGTTTGCATGCCCACAAGACTCAGCCCAGAGGCACCTGAGTTCGCCCCGTAGCTCCTGTACAGGAGTGCTTTCCAAGGAAGGAGCTTACCGCCCCGCCTGCCCCCTCCCGCCCCACCCCCGCATTTGTAAGCATGTGTGGAAATGCTTTCATGGTAGGTGGGAATCACAAAAGCAAAGGATGCTCAAAAAGCTAGGAGTCAGAACCAAGCAATTTCTTTATTTTAAAGAGGAAAAAAATAAAATAAAACAGAATATCCAAACAACATAATGGAAGGGTAACAATGATTAATACATTGTGTATTGTCATCTTCAAATTAGTTACTCAGAGTACAAGGTATCGGTATTTAATTGTCCAAGCAACATTAGCACAAACCTTTTTTTTTAATGAGATCTCAGTTGTTGATTCTTTGAAGCATTTCCCATGCAGTTTGTTATTCGTTCATGAACTCTCTGTCCTCCCCTATGTCTTCAAGACTTCCACCTACTTTCTCCTCCAGTAGATTTAGTGTTTCTGTTTTAATATTTAGATCTTTGATCCATTTTGATTTTAATTTAATGCATGGCAATCAACATGGTTCCAGTTTTAGTCTTCAGCATGTAGAAAGCCAGTTTTTCCAGCATCACTTATTAAAGAGGCTATCTTTCTTCCAGTGTACATGTTTGGCCCCTTTGTCAAAGATAAGGTGGCTGAGTGTATTTGTAGTTGTGTCTGCATCTTCTAAT